AATTTTTTTAGTAATATTAAGTAAATAATATTATTTAAGAATTAGTAATATAATATTCGATTGTTCAATGTGAAAATAATGAAATTTCCAATAATTGAGATTAAACATTTTCATGGAACACATCAATTTCGATATACTTAAAAAAAATTCCTAATTATTATTATCATCACGAAAACAACCTACAATTCTCCATGTGCCCCCATTACAAATATAATATTAAATCAAAATAGATATAAATAAATAAATAGAAAAAATAAAATTAGAGAAAGTACGCGAAAATGATGAAGATTTTCGTATTTTAAAAATATTCTCAGTACATTTATCGAGAGAGAGAAACAAATAAATGTCCGTTTGTTATCTAGGCTGGTATCGTAAAGGGGTTTAAATAGAAATAACTCGCGTATCGAATGGAATATCTTGCCGATAATTCGTAATAGGTGGGTATTATCGTGCTCGTGAGATCGAACACGACCGGCCGTCCCTGGTTCTTGTCACAGGATGCATTGATGCGTCTATTAGCGCGAATTTGCAAGTATGATTCAACGTAAAAACACCTCCCCGCGGCACGTTCATTCTCGGGAGCACGTTCACGTAGTAGAACGCGCGTGAAACGACCGATCTTCCTTGATGCGAAGCGTGTGCTTCAACGATGATCACGTCGAGAGCATTTTTCATTTGCCCCGAATGCCGTCCAATCTCTTTCTCTACAATGCTAAAAAGAAAAACTATGAAATACTACGTACAAGAGATACTACGATTTATCTATCTTCATTTATTGCCATTACCGATAATATCACTTTCTATTTCATTTTTATCCATTAACAACGATCATTTATTTATCCCATTCTGCCATTTATTTCTTTTCTTTTTTAAATAGAAACATAAAATGATTTATACATAATTTTGCAATGTATTTTTTCTCTTTGTAAGTGACTAAAATAATCATATTTTAAGATTTGTTATATACCGTTCGTAATATTTATTTCAAAGAATATATTTTAGTATATTTAAGTCTCTTTTATTTTTTATTAATTATCTCAAAGAGAAGAATATTATTCGTTAACGATTCGAGACTATTAATTATTTTTTAACGAATTTCTTTTCTTCCCAAATTAAAATAAAATAATTCATCAATATATCTTCCATCTATATTACATATATATTTGAAGTAGAAGAAAATTATTGTACAATAAATTTAGTTATTTATTTTTAAACGAAACCAAAAATATATATATATATATATATATAAGTAAATGATTTATTATTAAACCTTTAATTTTTAATTAAAAAGAAATAAAATGGTAATAGTAAATCTTTATTTTTAATCAATGTTAATTCCGTAATAATTATGCTCCTGTATATATTCACAATTTTACGAATAATATGATTTCGTATGGAATTAAATTTGAATGATAAAATGTATTTCGTCTCTTTCTTTCTTTCTTTCTTTCTTTTTTCCTCTTTCTCTCGCTCATTCTTTTCAAAGAAGTCGATTTATCAGAGTCGCTGTCGCGTGCTGCTGTTGCCACAGAACCTTGCAAACTCGTGAGAAGCATAAGCGGCCGCAATGAGTCGGCTAATTAGTTTATTACGCCGTGCTGATTTGTACGCTCGTAAATCGCCAGACTACGTATATGAATAACATTATATCTACACGTTTGTGTGTGTGTGTGTGTGTGTGTGTATGCTCGCTTTAACTCACACATATAATTCAACCAAGTATTTCTATAACAATCTAATAGCATTCGAGGTAAGGAGACAGAAAAAGAAAACATATTTTTTGACGTGTTTCTTTCTTTCCTTCCTCTTTTTTCTTTTTTTTGTTTCTTTTTTTTTCAATTTTTCTTTTCCATTTCCGTTTTTGTTTAATTTCATTTTCATAAAGAAATCAAGGTGTAGTATAAAGTTTCCCACATGTAATTATCTCTTCCATTGCAAATAATTGACTAAGGGAAAGGAGGAGGAGGAGGAGGAGGAGGAGGGGGTCGGTAACGATGTTGATTAATAAATGAATAAAATATTATCGACGTCTCAAGTCGTCTCTCATAATTATTATATCACAGGTTTGAGTATAACAAAGTCCATTAAAATATAGTCTCCAGATAATAATAATAATATCTAAAATAATAATAATAATAATAAATAAAAATCATAATAATAAAACGATCATTCTTATTCCCATTGAACTAAGTGTGTCACCTTAATTGAACTCCGGTGAAAGGATTAAGTGTTTTTTAATATTTTATATTATTATTATTATTATATTATTATCTTTTTATTATTTTTTCTTTTTTCTTTTTTTTTTTTCAATACGATTTAGATTTTAATTAAAGATAACAGTAATTGCCAGCTCTCGTATATAGTAAATACAATATAAACGTTCGTAGTTTCTCACAGTCATCAAACGGAGTACTATTTCGAGATTGAACACAATGAACCGGGGTACTCAGGTGTGCCAGTCCGCGCCTGGCCCACGGAAACTTGCTCCTTTCCGTCGTTAAATTATAGTGTTTACGCGAATTAGATTTCGGTTTCGGTAATTTTCAGTTAATAACGAAACGAACTGGCCAACGAACAAACGTTAAGTGCGGCTTCGGGCCCATTAATGCCATTATAATCTAAAGGGCTACCTATATCTTCAACTATCTCTCCTTCTTTCTCTCTCTTACTCTCTTACTCTCCCCCTTTCCGTTCACTTTTCTCATTCCTGTTGCATATGCAGCAAGTGCATCTCTCTTTTACGGCTTATACGCGAATAATAAACGCGATGGGTGTGCGCGAAGACGAGTCTTCTATAAGATAGAAAGAGATAGAAATATAAAACGATAGTATGAGAGAGAAATAAAGGGGTAGAGGGGTGGTGGGGGTGGGGTGGGGGGTTTGTTGGAGGAAAAGTAGGGTTTAGATCTCTTATACATTATCGTCCGCATTACGTCGGGGGCTACTACCTGGATTATAAGCTCATTTCCGATAAATCGACTCGATTAAAAAGTGCCTCTTAAGACGCGCGTAAACCACTTTGCTTCGACCCCTTCACCAATCCCCTCCCCGCTAGCGCCGCCGTTGCCCCCCTTTCGATCCGCCTTCCGTTCGATCCGTGTTCTTACGGGACCTTCCCTTCGATATATCGCAAACCCAACGTACTCGTTTTTAGAAATTCGTTTGAACGAGCGCCATTTTCCTTAAAGACTGGTGGTACCGCTTCCAGCTCTGTGATATCAAGTTTTAGAAGAAAACGACTCTTATACTTTTTCTATCTTTTATTTTGTTGTTTTCTTCTCTCTCAGATACTAGCCTCGAGTTCTCTTAGTATAGACGATCATCATGTCGGCAAACGATACTTTCAATTAACTTCCTTTTTTTGGTTTTCATCTTCTTCCTCTTCCTCTTCTACTATTACTTTTTTTTTCTTCTTCTTCTTCTTTTTCTTCTTATGCTTCTTCTTCTTTTACTACGTGTTTCTATGCAACCATGATAGTAAACGACATCGAGTGGTGGTGTCATAATCGGAATGCGAGTTGATACACGACATTTCCTAAGTGGGCGCCATCCTTGTGTTAGTCAACTGGCGCCAGAAGTTTATAGTAGGTGTAATTCTAGATCGCGACAGACTGTGTTTGAAATATTTCATATAATATACGATATGATTTATACATTTAAAGTATCGAAGATGTGTACTCGATTATCATCGATGATACGTTTTAAACGTGTTATCTCCATTTACTGCGTATAACCAAACGATTTGTATTAAGCACCTTCTTCATCGTCTTCAGGTAAAAGTTGTTTTGTGTGTGTGATTTTAAAAAAATGTTCATAGATTTTTCTCTATGGTTAGGAAGGTTACTGGTATTTTGTCGTGGATAAGGTTTAAGATCTCAGTGTGAAACACGAATCACGCGTGAAAATCATTCCGAGGGTTTCGAGATAATCGAGAATTTTATATGCGTGTGTTTCTGTGTGCTGGAAGTCGCATATTTGAAGTAGATACATAAGAGCTCAAGTATTATAGGAATCATTAATGCTGCAAGGTCGGTGAAAGGAATGATACCTTTACCCTCGCATGAATGAATTTACGTTGATGTATTCACGATTTTAACGTATGAGAGATATTTATTTCGTTTATTTATTTCCACATCTAAACGATTATCTTTATTTTATGGCGAATTTTAAATAATTTTTTCTTTTTTTTATGAAGATATGCAAAAGTCTTGATTGAAAAATAATATAAAAACCAGTGATTTTAATTGTAAATGGAAAAGGAGAGTATTTGGTAATAAATTTGATATCGTTCGAAAGGATATTCGCGAAACTGGGAAATCCCAAATCCAAAAATAAAAAGAACAACTACTACTGCTAATAATAATAATAATAATAATAATAATAATAATAATAATAACGATGATGATGATACAACTACAAATATTACTACTATTATATTACGTTCTAAATGGATTCTTTAAGACCACCACCAAGCACGGAAATGAGACCGCAGTGATTCTTCTGGTAATTCCGATTTAGCGGTTTAAATATCAAGCGAGAAGGAATAATAATTGGTAGCCGAGAAAATAACGTATCAGTTCGTGTTTAAATAGCTTGTCGAAACGACGTTACATTTTTTTTTACGAATGCGTACAATCGCGTTAACAATTTTAGGTAATAGAATTACTCTATAATAAAATAAAATAAAATAAAATAAAATAAAATATATATTTATATGAAAGATACAAATTATTTCGTATAATATAGAAAATCGCGAAAAGTATAAAAATTTTGTATGTTAAACAAATGAATAAATTATATAAAAGAGAACAAAAATATCTCTTAGATTTGACGAATTAAAGTAAAAAATCAAATAATTATCAGAGGAAAGAGAAAATTGTTCGTAACAAACGATCGTGTGTGAAAATAACGAAAATTACAAAATAATAATTTCTTGTTTTACAGATCAGTCGAGCGTACGAGGAGGAGGTGGCGGAGGAGGAGGAGGAGGAGGAGGAGGAGGAGGCGGAGGCGGAGGCGGTGGTGGTGGAGGTGGAGGTGTTGGAGGAGGTGGAGGTAGCGAGCTGGCCGTCCCTCAGACGAGTCCTGCTAGTAGCACGAGTAGCTTGAACCAAGTGAATCAGGTGAACCAGCAGGTGAACCAACAAACTAACCAACAGCAGTCTCGTCAACAACAAGGAACACCGACACCAACGTTAACACAAACACCAACAATACCAGCTGTTACAAGTGTTGTATCGTCAACTGCATTATTGGTTGTATCAACGCGATCATCGCCTGCACCAACACCGATAACTTCATCAACTGCAACTGCAGCAGCAGCAGCAGCAGCTACAGCAACAGCAGGAACAATAACAACGACGCCTCAATCCACTCAAATGGGGATCTCAACGGAAGAGGTTAGACCTGAGGAAGAGGGCACCCACCCGAGGGCAGCTCCAACGAGCCCTGAAAGCGAGGCTGAGGTCGACGACTTTGCACCTAAGAGGAAACAACGACGTTACAGGACGACCTTCACGAGCTTTCAATTGGAAGAACTTGAAAAGGCATTCTCGAGGACTCATTATCCTGACGTTTTCACAAGGTAAGTTTTTCAATACATTACAAAAAAAAAAAGAAAAGAAAAGAATAAAATCCGTGTATATTGAAAGGACTTATCTACTTATAAACAAGGACGAAAATCCTCTTTCTAAAGTATTTTCAATCTTACCTAACAACTCTCTCTCTGACCTGACTTTAAAAGGAACAAGAGACACGTAAGTAGTAGGTATGATATTATCTTCGTTTCTTTTTTAGCGATAGGTAAAGAAAATTATGTCTAGACCAAAAAAGAGAATCCTATCGAATCTGTTGAATGATTGCTTACAGGCTTCTTGAATAACGGGATCGAGATATAGAATAGAAAAAGTTAGGTTTGAAGGAGGACAACCTGCTGAGATATTACCTATTAGTCTCGACTAATCCCTAAACTTATCGCGATAAAACAACACCCGCACTGCACCTTTGAGCATCTCTCATACTTAACTTAACTTAACTTAACCTTACTCAAAGATTATTTACCTAACATAAGCTGATTCGTGAATCGTAGAGTCAAGAGTCTTGCTCTGCCACTTTCATTACATTCCTACGAGGCTCCCATTCGAAACACGTGGAATTATCTATCGACGATTAATACCAGATGCCTATGCAATTACAAAGAAAATTCCAATAACAAATTCAATCGATATGAAAAAAAAGAAAAGAATATATATATAAATTTAATCATCGATCTTTCCAGACGCTTCTTCTTTTAAAGGTTACCTATGAACTATGTCATTTTTGAGTCATCATTTATATTTACGAGAATTCCTCAATTTTGTTTTCCAACTAATCCGATAGGTGAGAATGTAAACGAAGAACGAAACCAAACGCTACGCACATACATATACATACACACACACACATAGATATTTCTATACGTACGGACAGAGAGATAAGCAGAATATTATCGATCGATGCCATTTTTACGATGAAGGCGTAGTCCTTGAACATGATCATAAAACGGACTTGATTCCTTCATGATTATTCAAGCTTATAGTGATATTCGTATTGCAAAAATAGCGATGAGTTAATTGCGTACGTTACCGTAATTATGGACATACCAATGCCGATCGTTTCGATATAAGAGTTAATAACTTTATCAAAACATATATATACACATACATACAATATATATATTTATCTAAACACATATACACATAAACTTCATGAGCTACAAAAATTCCATGCGTATTAGTTTCCTCATACATATATAGATTCGATCAACCAATTAACAAATAATAATTTTAACCAATTATTCTTCTAACGTAAGATATAAATATTCATCGTAGATTAATTAAATTAGATTATTGATTCAATCGATCGATTAATTAATAAAATTAATAGTTAATTGTTAAATTAGGGTATCGTAATCGTACGTAAAATCAATTAAAATTAGTTGAAAAATATCATTACGAATATAATTCGTTTAAAATACGCAAATCTTGTTTTCTAATATTTTTTTATTATATTAATTATTTCGTAGAAAAATAATTAAATTAGATAAAATAAATTCAAATAATTAATTTTATAAATGATAATCTCCCAACTAATAAATTATTCCTATAACGTAACGTATAATAGTTAACCGTAGAAGATTAATTAACAATAAATTAGATTAAAAGTTATATCAATCAATATAGAAATAACATATACACGTATATATTTATTGAATCAAATTACCATACTTGTCCATAAAAATAAAACAAAGATAACAAAAATTATCACGCAAATTTCTAATATCATAATTGTTTTAAACATAACTAAATTAAATATATGAATTTATATAATATAATATAATATAACGATACCCATACGATATCAATGACTGAGAATAATCAAATTAGGTTTTCCACAATCATTCGTAAAAACAATTAAAATTACAGAGTTAGAAAGACGACAAAGGTGGATCGTTCAATATACAAATCATGTTGTTCTTTGTTGGTACAATTTCATTTTTGTCATTTTCATTTAATTTTTTTCCTTTTCATTTTTTAAAGGCGATTCTCTAACCATGCAAATTTTCTTTTTTCCATACCCACGGTCGATGGTTTTGCATTATTAAGTCTCCGAAGGAAGAGACGACCGGTTGTTAGACGTGTAGAGTAACGCGCCGAGAATGGGGTGTAGTGCAATCTATCTGGATGTTTCTCTCTCTCTCTTTTTCTCTATCTCTATCTCTTTCTTTCTTTCTCTTTCTCTGTTAAACCTTCCTCTTCTTAAAGTTGTTCTTTTTTACACGTGGCTTCTTTCGTGCTATGGAACACCCGGTAGGTAACTAATAGCGGTGTAATCGCTCGTAATAGGTCCGGTCCTGGGGCCACGGTATGGGGTTCTCGTAATTAACGAAGGTGGAAGAGGTTGAAAGAGAAAGAGAAAGAGAGAGTATGCAAGAAAGCTTGAAACAGGTAGTATGGCTCCAAGATTCTCTGGGACATCCCTAAACCAACTATGAAAGTAACTTTGTTCCCTAAAACCTTTAGTCATTTACTCCCCCACTCCCCTCGTCAATACAGTTTTATGAAAAATTAGACCTTAGAAGTAGTCCTGACATTTTATTTCGTTTCATAAAATAATTCTGTATGGTTTTTTCTCAATTTTTAAATGAGTATCTTTTTCTCTTGCAAGTGTATTTTTATTTTTTATTTTTTCATTTCCTTAATTTTCGTTTTTATGGTTTTTAAATCGCGTCTGGATCGTTAAAGTATTTTGGAATTATTAAGCAGATTGCTTGCTGCTGCTCGGTGAATAGGGGTCATCATCCAATCGTCGAACGATTTATATTTCGATGATATTTTATAACATTTAAAAAATAATTGGTATTTTAGTTAATATTAAATTCATTCGTTGTGATCTCTATGTAAAAGAATTTTATTCTTTTAATTGTGATAGATTTTTTCGATTGGTATTATATTGATCATTTTGTTGTTTTCGTGTTTACGAATAAATCTTAAAATATGTTTTTAATCTTGTAACACGAAAAATATAATATTTAACAAAATAAAATATATATATTTCTTATATGAACCTATAAAAAAGACAAAATAATACAAATCATGTCCAACTTTTCTTGATAGTTTTCCAAAAAATTAAGATTAGATAAAGGTATTTGAAATTTTTATTTATTTAAATCGAGAAAGTAGGCTATGGTTTTGGAATTAGATTGAAAAATTAATTGATCGATCAATCAAACACGTCCGATATAATTAGTCCAACTTGATATAATGAGCGATAGTATTGGAATTCTTTGCATGCATCGTATAAAAATAAATCTCATGATTGCGTTAGTGACGTAAGTACCTACCGAACGAAGGTCGGATTATAAAGCGCTCCTGTGAAACAACGTTATAAATAACATTTTAATTACGTTCGCGTCTTAAAAGTCGTAGAACCAACGTTGTTCGACGTGAGAGACGTTGGCATAGTTCCTACGTGCACTGAACCAACATTTTTCTTCTTTTATGTGTTTTTTTTTTTTCTTTTTATTTTATTCGTCGATCCTCGTGAAGATATTACTTTATGGTTTTTATCGTTCGCAAATGAATATCCTCGGGGCTTGTGTTTCATTCAAAACTCTTATCAACAATTTTCAATTTAGAATTTATTTGTTCTATTTTAGATTTCCAATTTTTACATTCGCAAAAATTATCTATTAAATTTTGCAAATGTATATATTTGATTCGAGATGAATCTATTGTTTAAGAATTTTTAATATCTTTTACTTACATTAATAATTCTAATATTTTTTTAATAAAAATGTTTATTCTAATGTTTATTTCTAAATAAATAACACAGTATAGAATATTTGATGTACTCGAACATCATATAGTAATCTTTTTATCTAAACAAAATAAACTTAATATTATTTTTAAATAAAGTACTAAGAGAATTTTTACAGAGATTTATATTTAAATTAAGAGAGCTAGTGTATTTCTTTTTCTTATATTTTATTAAACATTTTTAAGAATAATTATTTAATAAATAAAAATAAAAATAAATTTAATATTATAATTATATTGATATAGTTATATATTAAAAACACGTTTAGTATTTTATAACCCACTATATAGAATATTTTATCGATTGAAATACTTTAAAGTATTTTCAACATTTAAACAACTATACTATTACTTTAAATATTAAAAATACCAGTAATACTTGTGTTAAACCAAGTCAATAATTAACGATCAATCTATCATTGATTAAGATTCCATATATCCTATCTAAGTTAGTTGATTCTCTTACGAATCTTTCACTATTTCGTAGTAATAAATTGATTCGCTTTCTTCGTTTCCCAGTGCCTTCCAGTGGTATTAATTTCACACTAATTGGATTTTATGGTCGCTTAGGTTTATTGACCATTCGTGAGAGAGACAGAGAGAGAGAGAGAGAGAGACGAATAAGAAGAAGAAGAAGAAGAAGAAGGATGAAAGAAAGAAAGAGAAGAGAATAGAAACTCGTCGGAACACATTGCATATTCATTAGAAGCCTTTACCGAAGGGCACGCGCACGATTGGTTCTATCAAAATACATTTAATGGACACACACCACCGGTACACACAATATTTTATAAGAAGTCATCCGATAGCTAAGCGAATAATACCCACGACCCATTTGTTACAACTAAGAATAAAACGTTTTACAATCGTTAGCTACAAATTACTACGTGTCCGATCATAAACGTCCTGGGAACGATGATTTATCTACATTTCCTCTTGATCGCGTATCAAACATACACACACACATACACACACACACACAAAACACAAATACCACATATAAATATAATATACAAGACTCATGACAAGAAATTAATATATAAAATGATATATAAGTAATTAGGTGTAAAAAGAATTTCGAGAAAAAAAAAAAAATAATGAAAATATATCTCTGTAGGAAGTTGTGTGAAAAGTGTGGCATAATAAAATAAAATCATATTACTTTGCTACAATATAATAACTAATTTGCGCGCTATTCTATATAATAAAATCTAGGATTATAACTTTT